TTTACTACAAGAAACACATTTTAAATGCTTAGTTATTACAAATAGGTACATAGTTTTACTTATTATTATTATTATAACAAATATAAATAAATGTGTGTGTATATATATATATATATATATATATATACAGGGTGCCCCTTGAGGATTTACCCATTGCAATATCTCCCGAAATAATAGTGATATCGAAATTCTGATTTTGTAATAAAACTCACAGGGATAAGAACTACAATTATTTCATACTTTGATTGATTTTAATGTTTTGGTAAAAAAGTTAAAAAATATTTTTWTTTATTTAATTATTTCCATAAAAATTAAAGATAGCCATTTTCCAGAATTTACTTTTCTGAAATTATTGACGTTTCAAAATTTCATTTTCATTAATTTCCTGATTTTTAATATTTTTTTTAGTTTTGAGAAAAATTGTGAATTATTAACACCATAATGTTATCAAACATGTGACCCGCCGCGCCTCACACATTCCCATACAGTCGGCTGAATACTTTCTGTGTTCCTAATAGTTATAAATTTATAATCATATTTTATTTCTTCAAAAATAGAAAAAAATATCAAAATTCAGGAAATTAATGGAAATAAAATTTTGAAACGTCAATATTTTCAGAAAAATAAACTACAAAATGGCTATCTTTAATTTTTTTTGAAATAATTAAATTAAAAATTTATTTTAAAAATTTTTCACAAAAATATTAAAATGAAATAATTGTAGTTCTTAACCCTGTGAATCTTAATATAAAACCAGAATTTTGATATCTCCATTATTTTGTAAGATGTCACAATGGGTAAATCCTCGTGGGACTCTCTGTTTACCTATATAATACAGTAAGTACTGAATTATATATTTCAGTTTAAATATTTACAACCTTGTATGAAGTATAAAGTCAAATGTTCAATTTAAGTTTGTAAAACACAGAAAAATGGGTGTGACTATTAATGTTAACAACAGATTAACTCTTAAGAGGAWGCCACACCCGCATGTGTTGTCTCCGYCATACAAGTGCGTAGCATAGCAAATTTTACGCTCAGCAGATCACGTTTATTTCCGTTAATTTAAAATTTAGAGTGAATTCACCTATTATAAAAATTAAAGGCAAGATTATTACCGAAGGCATCTCATAGGCTTTTTATTATATTTTAATTTTAAACCGAGTTATGAGTATTTTTAGATATAGAAATAATTTTAAATTTTAAAATACTCGTTATTCGCTTTAAAATTAAAATATAATAAAAAGCCTATGAGATGCCCTCGGTAATAATCTTGCCTTTAATTTTTATAATAGGTCAATTCACTTTAAATTTTAAATTGAAGGAGATAAACGAGATTTGCTGAGCGTAAAATTTGCTATGCTACAAACTTGTACGACGAAGAAAACACATGCGGGTGTGGCGTCATCTTAATACTAATGATAAACAGTACATTTTGTTGTTTACTAGCTTAATTGAAAAATCATAGCTAAATTAATTACAAAACTATTATAACTATAAAAGAGTGCTGGCATAGCAAAAATCATTAAGATTTTTTTGATGAAATAAACATATTTTCCTTTTATTTTAAAGCGTTTATTCAAATATAATAAAAAATACAAATTTGGAATTCCTAACACTGAAAAATATTATTAACAATTAAACATATTGAGTGAATGACTGTCAACAGTCACATGGCAGTCAACGTGTTAAATAATGGAAGGTACCTACAATTTTTTTTTTTATTGAATCATGAGAGTTCTGATGTAAATCTAACTTAAAAGATTTGTTTGAGAAATAAATACAATATTATATTTACTTCATAATTAGAATTCATACATATTTACTGCATACCTGTGTATATTAATAAGTGTAAAAAAGATACCTAAACAGTAGATATAATTGATCAGTTTCAATTTCAAACTCACTTTTTGGTAGCCATGGTAGTTGTCTAATTTGATACTGCGATGTAACAACAACAAATGAGTTACCTACAAAATAAAAGTATAAATAGGTATTAAATACCTACAACGGTATTTAGTTCAAATAGTTGTGCTATTATACATTACGTTTGTGTAGGTAGACTTAAGTGTAAGACTTATGTTCAAAAAAAAGGAATTATTCAAAACACAAAGTTATTGAAAAAAAATTCACAAACAATACCTACATCAGAATAACTATGCAAAAAAACTAAAGAYCATAAAATGTAACATACAAAAAACAATCGCATACAGTATTCATATAAATTATAGTAATACTGGCATACGATGATGATAGTAATTAATTTAAAATATTCAAAAAAAAAGAATAGGTAATATAATATACTGCTATAATATATAAGCGTATAAAAGAGAAACTGAAATTGCAAAGTAAATAATAAA